CAGCAAGCAAGGAGTTCTGGGCTGGTAACCGACCTGAAGCTAAGGRTTCTCAACTATTGTGCTATGCATCTCCACTTGAACTTCGAGTACTGCAACTGTAAAGAGAGTGTCCCTCCTTGCGGCCAATACTAGGACTGCTGACATCAGTCCTCAACTAGGGTTCACAGTGCTAAACAATGCTCCCTTCTATAAAATTCTGGCTAAGGTGCACTCGTTAAGGATTAAAACAGTCCTCCCTTCTATCATTAGTGAAACCTAGGGGCTTTCATTTAGGGGCGAAAAATAACATATCAGATCTTAATTGTGAATGAGTGTGTGGAGGAAATGAAAAGGTCTAGGAAGAGAGGTTTCATTTGTAAATTGGATCTTGAAAAGGCCTATGATTTGGTGGACTGGGAGTTTCTATTAGAGGTTATGCGAAACTGTGGATTTGGGGACAAGTGGTGTAGTTGGATTTTTTGGTGTATCAGTACTTGTCACTACTCTATTCTGGTAAATGGTATGGTGAGGGACTTTTTTCCAGCTTGCAGGGGTGTCAAGCACGGGGATCCACTCTCACCCTTCCTTTTTACCTTAGTAGCTGATGTGATTAGTACGATCATTACTAAGGGTGACAGTGAAGATGCCATTAGGATTGGAGAATAGGGAGACACCAAGTCCCCGTCACCCACCTTCAATTTGCAGATGACCTAATGATCTTTTGTGATGGAGGTYTTAGCGAAAAGGTAGCAAATCCTAGGGGAGGTCGAGGCTACAGCGGAGTGTCTTGAGTGTTCCACCTCTGCTTGGCCTATGTCAAATTTAAGGCTTCCTTTAGGGCCAAATCCTAGGGAGAGTAGATTTTGGACCCTAGTGATAGAAAAGTTTGAGAAGAGATTAGCCTCATGGAAGAGGAATTATGTCTCTTTAGGAGGGAGAATTACCCTACTAAGAGCTTCCTTGGCTAACTAACCTACCTATTTTTTGTCTGTATTTAGGATACCAGTTAGGGAAGCTAGGAAACTKGAGAASTTGATGAGAGATTTCTTATGGGAGTCGGGACAAGAAAAAAAGGATCACTTGGTTAATTGGGAAATTGTGTGTAGAAGTAAAGAAGATGGGGGTTTGGGACTTGGGAGGGTAACTAGAAAAAATCAAGCTTTGTTAGGGAAATGGTTGTGGAGATGGCCATGGAAAGAGAGAGATTGTGGCATGAGGTGGTGGGAAGCATTCATGGGAGGTCAGAGAATGGATAGAATGCTGGTGTATCAAGGCAAGCTAACCTAGCAGCACCTTGGAAGGCCATTCACAACACCCTTCCTCAATTCCTCAATTTTATCAGGTATGAAGTTTGTTCTGGCAACACTATTCATTTTTGGGAGGATATTTGGGTAGGAGACACACCTTTAAAGGATCTGTTCCCTTCGCTATCATCTGTTTCTTTGTACAAAAAAGAGGTGGTCTCAAAATTTGTCTCACCTTTGGGAACACCCTTAGATCCTACTTGGGATTTTGGGTTTCATAGAGGACTTAGGGATGATGAAATTGAATCTCTTTCTGTCTTGCTTGGTTGTCTTAATCAGGTTTGTTTGGATCCCTCCAAGCCATATAAGAGGGTATGGACTCCTAGACCCAATGTAACATTCGCTTGTGCTTCTTTCTTCAAATCCATCTCTCAACTTTCTACTCACCAACCCTTTCCGTCAAAAGAAATTTGGTGCAGGCCAGTTCCCCAAAAAATTATGGCGTTTTGTTGGGAAGTATTCCATGGGAAAGTAAACACTCTAGATAACCTAAAAAAGAGAAGACATTTCCTCTGCATTTCTCCTAATTGGTGTATCCTCTATAGAGCTCACGGTGAGGATTGTTACCACCTATTAATATCTTGTCCCTTTTCTGCAAACCTTTGGGCTTGGCTATTTTTGTTGTTTGGGAGTAGTTGGAGTCTGCCAGCAGAAGTTCACATGCTCTTCAACCATTCTACCTTTTATTGGCCTACAAAAATAGGGAGAATTATGTGGAGATGTTCTCGTGCTGCCTTGATTTGGACTCTTTGGGAAGAAAGGAATATTAGAATTTTTCAAGAAAAGGAAAGGAGCAGTCAGGAATTGAAAGATTGTGTGTTAAATAGGGCAATACCTTGGYTGAAGACCTTGGAAATCTTTCACCAATTCTCCTTTAATGACCTTTGGAGAAATTGGTCAGCAGTAGCGAGGTGTTCATCCCTAAAGGACAAATCAATTACAAGCTGGTCTCCTCCATCCGAAGGCTCACTGAAGTTGAACTTTGATGGAAGTAGCATGGGTAATCCAGGATTATCCGAAATGGGGGGTGCTTTGAGAAATGAGAAGGGAGAGATTTTGTTGCTCTACTCAGGTCCCTTGGGAATTGGGGACTCCATCAGAGCAGAACTTTTAGCTGTTGTACAAGGGGTGCAATTTGCAAACTAGTTGAGGGTGCAACACCTAACAATCGAGGGGGATTCCAAAGTGGTGGGGAGATCAGCAAATACTTTGTCAAATGTGTTAGCTAAGCAAGGGGTAAATAGGGAAGAATTGTTTTGGGCTCAGTTGTGATTCTTGCTTTTCTTTCCTAATTTACTTGTAAGATTCAAGGAGGGGTTGCATCTCACGCCTCTCCCTAGGATGTTGTATGAACTCACTCTAAATCTGCTTCTGAATTAATAAATTTATTATCATTCATAAAAAAAAATGTTTTATATGTTTGATTTTTTTTAAGTTCCCATTTGAATATGCTTAATATCTTACGTTTATGTATTTTAAATTTAGATAATAGGTTTTTTAAAACATTTATTTTAAAATTTAGGTTTAAATTTTTTATTAGGGAAAATCTATGATATGGAAAAGATATGGTATGGAAAGAGTTTTGACCAATCAAAAGCCACCCATGAATTTTGATAAATAACACCTAATGTGCCACCAAGTTTGTGATTCCAGTTGATTGGTCAGGTGTTTTTCGGATATCATATCTTTTCCATATCATAGTTGAACCCTTTTTATTAATATTATGTTTTATATTTTTTTGATGCTTTTGGCATTTTCTTGAAATTTCAGACTTTTTTTTTTACTTTTTAGCATTTCTTGTATTTTTGCGCCTTACTTCAAAAAGGCGCACACCTCGCCTTGCGCCTCAGGCGCAAATTGACCTTTGCGCCTTGCGCTAGGATTGACAACAGAGTGGGTTCAGGGCGGGGATCATATTCCCTGTCCCCAACCCCGACTCTGAAATTAACCCCCATCCCCGTCCACGATCTCCTTCGGGGATAAAATGTGTACTCCATCCCCGACCCCCAACAGAGATGGGTTACCCGTGGGGACCCGAATCCCCGAAATATTTTTAGATAATAGTATTTTTCTGAAAAAAAAAACAAATTTACTGAAAACAAATAAAAACTTAAATTATAAATAAGGTTTTAAATATGTTTTGATAAATAGAAAAAATATAATAATATATATTTAATATAAAAAACATTTTATATATATAATCGGAGTCCGGGCGGGCGGAGACCTCAATTCCCATCGCCGACCCCGATCCCGACCGAGTTTTCCTAATAATCTCCGTCCCCGTCCCCGTCCCCGTCCCCGCCCCACCAAATGGGTAAGTTAAGAGTAGAGATTTCTGTGGGTCAGGTTAAGTGATAAACCTGCACTGCCTTATATTGACATAAGGCTCAGCTCAAGACAAAGAGGTACATCTAGATGTATGTCATAGACTATCAGGAGATGTTTGTTTCAGTGGCACAAATGAACTCCATACAAATCTCTTAACGGAAGACCTAGAGGAGATATACACGGAGTTTTCCTTATCGGTATGCTTATTAGTGTCAAGCAAGAAGGGCTACAGACACAGGGACTAATGGGACCTATCCATCCTCCAGGCTTCCATGTGTAAGAGGAGTCCATATAACCAATGACTTGACTTCCTGTTCTACAGCCCAGGCTGTCATTAGAACCAATCCTCAAAGCATGTTCTGTGAGAAAGATTTACAGCATCTGTAACCATTACTTCCATGGCCTCTTCCAGTGCAAATATTGATCAGAGGTGCACTTATCTTACAGCCTATGGAAAAGTAATCACTAATCAGGATTTAAATCCAAATACTTCCCCTTTCCACATCCTGCATTCCAGATAAGGATTTAAGTCCAAACAGTCAGTTGTTTAGAGAGAAAGAAACAGCAAAACTTTTGAGATTCAGTCCACCCCTGTTGAGAATATATATGGGAAGGTTGAATGCTTGCTTGTAAAGTGAGCATCCATCACCAACCCTTTTGCTGGTTTCAGATCAGTGGGGCAGTATAATCTCAGATGACATTGTTATGCAATATCTAATAGTGGACCTTTGAGTCTTTGTATCTGTTATATTTCATCGGCAGGGAATCTCCCCCTCCCCAAGCTTGTCTTTTAATGAAATTTCACTTTTCAAAATTGAAAAGGATAAAAAAAAAGACTCTTCCACAATTGTTCTCTCAAACAACACTCTTACTTCCTATTCTTCTACTAATTCTCTTCCACTTGAAAATAGGCCTCATATCACAACTCTTTTTAAAGAATTCTGCACCAAAAATTCCTAATTGACAAAATATCTTGCTTCTAATTTACTCATCATAATGTTGGCATGTTTGCAAGTTGCAACCCAATCTTACCCTGAAAAATTAGGAGGTACCAAAGCAATTTTATAAATGTAACCTAGCTATTATGTACTTTATGGAGGTTTCCTTTTTCACAACCAAACTACAAAATATACATTGCCTTAAGGTACCAAGAAGTGTTTGAATCTAAAAAACGTCAAACAGGTTGATTTTTTTTTTCAAATAGCAGACTGATTTGAGTAAAAACAATGGAAAAATACTTGCCTGGTTGTAAGCGACATTGCCCATAGCTTGTTTTCCCATTGCACACTACACAGATAAGACAATTATGTTAAGACCATTCAGAATCATTGTTCCATCACCAGGATAAAATATCTCTAGATAATGAAAGAAATATTACACAAAGGCCAAGAAAAGACAACGGATAAACCTGATATGTGTTTCTTGGTGATTGATTATGGTGGGGATAAGGTATTAGTCCAGCACATACACCTAAGATGGTAAAAGGCTCAATTTCAATATGAGTTGTTTCTGGTTCAGCCTCCCCTTCATATAAAGCAATCTACAAGATAAAGAATGGCTTATTCACTGAATCATTACTAAACATGTATGTGAATAAAAACATTAAGTACTAAAGGAAATAATATAGACAACAAACCAATGCATTGTTCTCCTCATTGACATCAAGATATTCGATCAATCCTTCACGTAAAAAATCATTGAAACTGCGAACTCCATCCTTGAAATGTATTCAGGACAACAGTTAGGAGTAAGTTATAGCGTTATTATAACTCAAGTAATTAAATCTTATAGACAGCTATAGAATGGCAAACCATTAATTCCTTCATATGATGTTCTTTGATCCTTGATACACCCTTATCAGCGATAACCAATGGACGACAAACACGACCACCATCTGAAGCAATGTAAACGCACCGCTGCCATAAATTTGAAGATTTTATCATCTAGTTGAATGCATACGTAAATGGAAGGATGTTACAATAATAAGAAAATGCAAAACAAATAAAAATACTAACAAATTTCAACTGTTCTCTATGTGATGCAACAGGAAGAAATTTGATCATCATCAAAGAGCTCTTGAGGGAAAACCAAAGAAGAAACTCGTGTATGATGTTAAAAGGAGCAGCCCAAATTTTCTTAACAAACTAAAGCCCAAAGAGAAATCCATTCCCGTCTATTGGTATACATGAACCCTGCTATCATTCCATAACACACACATAGCTTATGGTTCTTGGAAGTAAACAAGAAGGAAATATGTGAGCAGTTAGTTGATCTCCTTTTATCAAAAACACAGCCATAGATCATTCAGTTCAGCCACTTCAGCCATTACCAAACAGCCCTTGAGCTCATTGCAAGTTGATAACCCATCATGATGTCTTTGTTATGGTAAACCACGTTTCAAGCAGTATCTATGGCTCCATTCTTTTTACAATATACTATAGTTTCTCATAGACATTTCAGCCTCTGTTCCCAGATAATACAGCAAGATCTTAGCATTTGCTTGAACTCTTGACAACATTTTCACCTTTTGGAGTAGGTTTGGCCTGTTTTCAAAGGAAAAATTCCTAACAGAGGAAATGCAGTAACCAGATCAGTCCTCTGGTCATCCAAGACTATCACCAACCTGCATCACTATAAGTTTTTATAGGTATATGCATGCTTTAAAATGTTTACATATTTCCCAAAAATTTCACACTGTAATAGAAAAGTTTCAAGGTTACAGACACAAACTATTATTGGAATATATTTCAACATATTCCCCAGTTCATTAAATATACCATTCTAAGGAATTTAGTTTACTAGTATATAGATATTTTTTTGATAACTTCCAAATATTTATTAAAGATAAAAAAGCAATATATGCAAATGCCCCCTATTAACACCTTACCAAGGTGCCACTAGCACCTCTAACATCATAATAGACAGATTACAACTGAACCCAATCCAAATGCCCCCTATTAACGTCTTGTTTAGCCAAGAAGTCAGCCAGCTCATTTGCTGATTGTTGCATCCAATGTCTTCTGATGTTCATATTACTTGACAACCATTTGAATCTCTTCACTTCCTCCCTATAGGTCCATACCACAGCCTCCGGTTTACTTAACAAACTCACCACCGCATTCGAATTCCCTTCAATAATCAATCTATCCAAATTCATATCTTTTGCAAGTTGCATCCCTCGAATTGCTGCAATAATTTCAATAATCAACCTTTTGCAAGAATGCAATAATGATGCCATCATTATCCTTAAAGACGACTCTGAATCTACAGGATATAAACCAAATAATTTAACAAAATACAGTCAATGTTTAATAAACTCTTATGAAAGGATAAAGAATTAAATACCTAAATAAGTAAATTCATATGTAAACCATTTTTTATGAGTCATTTAAACCATCTTTTAATTTTTTTTGTAAAATGCGAAGCAAATTTATTAGAAGAAACTAGCCAAATACAAGAGTGGGGAGTTCAATCATCAGAACCCACAACCCCCTGGAGAACCTAATATTCACATACACTACAGATACAGAGTGCAAGACGTTACAAGTAGGCTGCTAGGAAGGCTCCCTTGCAGCAACAAACCAAGAACTCAACCTCCCCACCACTACACTAATCAATTAATCAGTCTGCAAACTAAGACCCTGAAAAACTCTTTTGTTTCTTTCAACCCAAATTGTCCACACCACAGCCACAGGAATCAAGCTCCAAACTAGTTTACCATCTGCACTTAAACCTTGTGGGCACCAACCAGAAAGCAACTCTCTCAGATTTTTTGGGCAGACCCAGGATAGATTCAAAGCTATAACAAAATAAAGCCAGATCTTATACACCTTTGGGCAATTGATGAATAAATGATCTAGGCTCTCAGAGGACTGGTTATACAACGGGCAGGCAGGGTCTTGAATCTGTGCCCCTCTTCTTATCAGGCAGTCTTTGGTTAGGCCCTTCCCAAGAGATACAGTCCAGAGCAGGAAGCAGATTTTTTAAGGGATTGCATTTATCCAGATCTGTCTACTAGGAAACCGCCCCTAGACAGCTGGGAGAAGGCTTTTGGCCATTGAATTTACCACTGTCTTCCCACTTCAATATCCACTCATCTTCCTCTTCTGACATTTTGGTTGTTGAGCACTTTAAGTAACTCCAAAACAATGTTCCATGGGCTACGGGACCACACTAACCATTTCAATTCTCTGGAGTAGCTTCAGTTAAGTTCTATCAAGGTTAAATTAAAGAGGCAAATTTCTTAACAAATTTATTTCGTTTCCTTAATTAACTTTAGACTAATTAGTGCTAATTTCTTGTGTTTTTCTTGCCTATTGCAGTTCCTAGTTGATTGAAGTTCCAAATTTTAGGAGGCTTCACTTCAAGCTTCTCCCAATCTTGGCTCTAGAGGGAGAGACATGAGGGTCTTAGGGAATTTAGTACTTAATTCCCAACAACATCTCCTTAAAACTAAACCCTCAGGTGAATCTCCATTCTCAAGAAAACTGTTCATAAGGAAATATTGTAGACCAAAACGCTTTGACCTTGTTCTCACCTTTTCCATTGAACCTCTGCTTCTTCTCCTTTCTTTTTGTTCCTCTCCTTCCTTTTGTCTTCTTTTCCATGCTTTTTTTGAAAGATAAATAAAAATTCATGAAATGAAAAAGAGAATACAAAAGGAAGGTGATAAGAAATCATCCAAGAGATGTAAATATTATTGAGAATATTTAATGAATTTAATGAATTGTGTTATTGATCAAAAAAAAAGAAATCATCCAAGAGAGATAACAAAACACTAAAACAAACTTACAACCAACGACACAATGCTAAAGACAATCAATAAAACGAAGACCCAAAGGAAGCATTTTTGGACAGCCCAGCCCACCTCCACGAGCTTCATGACCACATAGGACCCAGGCAACCAACTCCTAATCCTCCCCTTCAAACACTTACTCCTAAGTCTTATTTGTCAATATCTTCATACAACACCTCTCCTCCCTCCCCAATTACCACTTTCATCATAGTTTCTTCCCTCCTCCACTCAAACTCCTCAAAGGCCTTCGTAGAAAACTCCTCCATTCCCCAAAAAGCAAGCTAGGACTTTGCCAACCACTACATTTTTCGCTACAACCTTCTTAATAGGAAGCTTCTCAGACCTCTACACCTGATCATCAAGGCTTCTTTTAGGATCTCTCGCTTCAGAACTGGAGTCAATTCCATTATCTTTATCATGCCGAGAGATTTTGGTCTAAGAAATCAAACTATTATTAACTTGAAAGTCCAGACCTCCAACACTAACGAATGTTGGCATTGTTGTCTTCCACCCTCTTATAAACCTTCTTGTGATTTTTTGTAGGTCTTGCCCCCACCAAACTTAGTTTCTGCCGAGAAAAGACCTTGGTAATTTGAACAATGTGCATATTCCTTGCTCCACGAGATTTCTTGGAAACTACCTCTTTGGATGTGAACGCATCATCACTACCACCCTCCTCATACCCAAATCCATACCTAACTTTCAAATCACCACTTCCTCGAAAGGACCGTGAATAGAATCAAAGCACTCTACCAGGAATGATTTGCAAAACAATGTGTCATTATCCTCATTTCCCCCATCATCATTTCCTAAAAAAAAACAAATAACATCTTAAGGTGGATTAAAGACTCTAGGTCTACCCAAGTCGATCCCTTGTTAACCCAACACCCATGTGGGCCCCATATATTTGTAATGAGCATAAGAGAAGGTTTGATTCCCTTTTGATATGCCTTAAGCTAATCCCCATCATTTGGAAGTAAGAATCAAAGGACTTCCATTTCACCGTTGGAAGTTGTCGATTTTGAAGGTTATTAGAGATTGTTGTGGGGAATTTGTGGAGGTGTGTCATGAAACTAGAACACTCCAAAACTTGAGGTTGGTTGCAATGAAGTTAGGAATGCTTCACCTTTCAAGTTGATTGTTGAAGATTAATTAGTTTTATGATGTTTTTTTGAGTAGATGTTTTATGTTAGTTGTTAGATAGGAGGTGGGGACCACAATAGCTATGTGAGTCCAAATTTTATTATGTTTTTCAGTGTTAGATATGTTGTTTTATGTTATGCCGAACTATAAGGGCATAGTTGTCTTTGTACTGTTCTATTATTTTAGTATAAAAAAAAAGTGAAGGGGGCGGCCTGATCATTGCTCTCTTTTCTTTTCAATTTCTCTTCTCTTCTTCTCCTTCTCTCTTCCTTCTCTCTTCAAAACTACTTTCTTTCATATTTTTTAATTCAGTAGATTCCTACTTGGTATCAGAGCATCGGCTAGGGTTTCTTCAAGCATTCCCATGCAGCCCTAGATCAGCCGACTGCATGAAGTAGTAAAGGACTGATCGATCTGCTATAGGTTGCCCAGTTCTTGGAGTTTTGGGGGGGATCTAGACATCAGAAAGGTGATCTACAGTTCGGCATCAAAATCAGGACGAACTAGAGTACGGGGAAGAGTCCCAGGAAAGTTGGACTCTTTGTTTTTTATCTGATCTTGGGCACCCAGGTATTGTTAGTTTTCTTTTGATTTCCTAAAGAGGGCGGTTTGGTTTCTAAAATTTTCTAGGCCTCCCGGAGTGATCGATTCACTTTTCTCTCTGTTGGGAGGCGTGGGGAGGAGAGGGATTTCCCTCCAAATAGGGTTTTCTTCTTTCGAAAGGGTTGGTTTCTCTGTGTGTGGTATTAAATTATTTTTTGAAGGTCTCCAATCTAATTTTTTCTTACCGTTGAACTAATTGAAGTAAAATGGAGAGTTGGAATACCGAGATGAAATCTACCGGTACTGTGGGACTAGGTGTTGGAGGTAGTAGTGATATTTTTGGGTCTGGGATCATTACTACAATAAAACTTCTTGGTACAAATTATTTGGAGTGAGTACAATCAGCTAAGATGGCTTTTGGTGCCCATGGAAAAT